TTAATTCTATCGGGTTTAACTCGCAATGGTAAGGAGGAAGTCTCAAAATGGTGATGTCTTCAGCACGAGCTATTGTATCCACCGCATGCTGGTAATATCTGTCACGATGCTGTTTAATGACACTCATAAGCTCGGCCTTAACCATGTCCTCGGAAAATGGAATTCCTTTTTGTCCTGACCAACTCTGCATGTCTGCTTTTCTGGTGGTCATAGTTGGCAGCTGTTCTACTAATCGGCTGTGATAAGAAGCGTAGCCTTCTGCGACGCCGACATATCAAACTAAGCCTTTTGTTACTGATGTCAAATATACATTTTATAAACGTGTTATTCATAAAAATACAATTTTTAATAGAACTTTCGAGAATGAAACAAGTTAGGACATACGTTTACACGAACACTTCTGGGGTTCAATTTTCGACATCATGTGAATAATACAGTCACAGGTTTATATATTCCTACATAAATACTCCCATGCAAAACCTACGGTATACTCCAGAGTAAATGGAGAATACCGTTTTTTCTCGTCGTGGAGAAAAACATATACGCATGTTTAGGAATAGGCACTTGAATATTGAAATCAGATCATGGGGAATTTTGGGAAATTTCGGATTTCTCTATGTTGAGGAAGGTTATTGTAACAGATTGGAGCCCTACTTTTTGTTATTGCTTGTTTCAAAGTTCATTAATTGTTTTAAAGATTATATAAATTTTGATTACCCGAAAAAAAATCACTTTAAAAGTTCATGGAAAATGAGGAGAATCTTAGAAAATGGAAGTTCACCATTTCATTTACTAGTAATGGCATACACTCTAGTCGGTGGAATTATATAATCGTATGCGTCTATCTCAAAAGATTTCTAAATAACTGCTTTGATAATTATCAAATTGTTCAAATTATAATTTGAACAATTTGATGAATTAATGAAAAAAAGAGAAATTAAACTTTATATTTTTTACCACTTTTATTTGTAACTAACGTTACTGCAGTATACGGACATTTTCAAACTTATACAACTATACAACTTATTGTATAAGTTTGAAAATGTCCGTATAGGACGAAACTGCAGTAACGTTAGTTACAAATAAAAGTGGTACTAAACATAGAAAGTTTAATTTCTCTTTTCTTCATTATGATTTCCTACCACGTAGTAACGTCTACATTCATCAATTCATTTGATGAATGTAAGGCTTTTTCAGAGGATCAATCTTGATTTTGTATAAACAAATTCGACGTGGATCATTGGCGAAATTATCTGGAGCTTTCATATTGTCCAGCTTGTCCATATTGTCCAGTTTGTCCATATTGTCCAGTTTGTCCATATTGTCCAGTTTGTTCATATTGTCCAGCTTGTCCATATTGTCCAGATTGTTGGGAAAAACAACCTCTCTCATTATTGTTCTAACAAAACAGTAAATTGTCAACGTATTTAAATTTTCAACAAAAGTTTTACAAAACCAAAGAAAGTTGAGTGCAAAAAAAGTAACCGACAACTTCTTTTATATCCGTTTAGGAATATTTCCAATCACATGGATATAGCCAAGTGTATATTATTCCTATGGATTCCAAAGGAAAATATTTCCATAGCTCTGAGGAGAATACCAAATCGTTTCTCACATCGGAATACATACTCAGGCACTATGAAAATAATGTCGAGAATCAAGTTCTTTATCACGTATATTAAATCTGTATATCTTTTTCGTAAATTCGCCATTCTTACGGAAGTTCTTCGGTATGTTCACGAAAAGATACAAGTTTGAATTTTTTAGTGATTCAAATACACCATCTTGTAGAAATTTCATCTGAAACAGTTTTATTTTTCGAAAAGCATCAATGAATTTAATATACAATTATCTAGTGGTGATGCATGGTCATCACGTTTGTGTGCACTAATCTTGGGAAGATCCATCAGCGTAATGTATGAATCTCCAAAAATAGACGATGATCGAATTATTAAGAGTTCTACACAAATGTACATCCGGGGACTTTTGGAGACCAGCCAATTTGAAAATATCCTTAAAAACATAGTCCCTAAATCTATGTTTGTGTTCATGCTCTTAATAAACTAACTGTTCTTTCTTTTTAGGTGCCGAAGCTAACCAAAGCGAAATTGAAGTTGCTGCAAAAGGCCGCGCAGGACGAAGCCGAGGCGAGAAAGGCTTTTGGAAAAAACCCGCCAGGATACACTCTGGGAAGTACAGAAGATGTGATAATCATAGAATCAGAGGATGTAGGAGCTCCGGAAACAAGAAAGAAACCCAAATTAAATTTAGACAGTTCAGATACAGAAGAAGCTAAGGCATCTACTTCTGAAACGAAGAAAAAAATCAAGTCTAAGTTTGTGGAAGATAAAGGAATACTCCTGAGCTGTTCAGGGCCACATACATCTGAAAGTTACCCACAGAAAGTTATAGAAAGCTCTAATGAAACTGATATTGAAAGAGAACAAAATCCTTCCTTAGTTGTAAATGAGGGACATTCCATTGTTGAGTCTTCAATAAAAGATGATAAAAAAGTTTCTGAAAACGTTGTGTTTATAAGTGAACAAGTACCTTTAGAATTAAAAAAGGAATTACTCAATGAAAACATATCAGTAGAAGTGAAGTCGGAGCTTATTACAGCTGGAGAAATTAGTGATTGTGTTGTGGACAATAATATATCTTCAGAAGAGGTTTCTTTTAAGGATATCGACATAGAAGCGAATTTGTGCAAAAATACTGAAGATGTTGCTATAGATGTGGAAGACGAAATACCATATTCTATTCTAGCGCCACCTGGATCGACTTCGTCGAAAGTCTTCCCTGGTTTAGGTGAGTAGAAGTAGAATAAAATCGTTTTAGTAAAGTTCGGCGATTTTCTGCTATCGAAAAAAATGGATCGAAGAATTTGCATCAATTTTTTTTGTAAAAAAATGGAATCGAGTGGTCATAAAACACTGAAATTTTGACAGTAGCATACGGTGATTGTACTCTGAGTCAAAAAAATGTTTACAAGTGGTACAAGCTTTTCACAGGCGGTTGAGAAGATGTGAATGACGACGCTCGCCCTGGACGCACATTAAATACCGATGAAAATGTTGAGAAAGTGAAGAAAATTGTTATGGAGAATCGTCGAATCACTATTAGAGAAGTTGGGCATGAAGCATGTGGCAGTGAAGTTCTTTCCAAAATTGCTGAATTTTGACCAAAAAACCGTCGCATGAGCATCGCTCAAGAATTGTTGAATGACGCCAACGTCGATCCAGATTTGCCATAACCTTTTTTCTAGGACGAAACACAAGCACTACAGGAAAATCTTCAAGGCGATCTTAGAGCGGTAAATGTGCGCATATATTCACATTGGATTTGAATCGCTGGAGATTAAATCCATTCGGAAAAACGTTCCCAGGAAGTTTATTTCACATAAACGCCGTTCTCCACATGAAAGAGTTCTTAAACAGTTAAGTTCAAGGTGTACTGAGTTGAACCTCAAAACGATGAGATGCCACAGTCCGTCGCGTATTTCTGATATGTACCGCTCTTGGTGGAATCAAATGTGCCAAGTCACTCGAACTGGTGACGAATCATGGTTTTGCTCACTGTTTTCTTAGATTATCCTGGCGTAGTGCATTACGAGTTTTGGCCACCTGGTCGTATTATCTTGAAGTTATGCGCCGCTTGCGAGAAGCAACACGAAGAAATCGTCCGGTGTTGTGAAAAAATATTTCATAGCTTTTGCATCACGATGGTGTAATTGCTCATTCATCATTGCTTGTTCGTAATTTTTTGGCCAAAAACAACACCGTAATCATGCCTCAGCCCCCTGCAGCTTTTCTATGTTCCTAAGTTTGAAGAGACCCATGAAAGGAGGGCAATAAAAACCAAATCTGATAGAGCTCAAGGACATACCAAAAACTGTATATCAGAGCTACTTCGAGAATGGGGAATGTTCCTCAATTTGGGTTATTACAGCAAATGCAAGTTTGAACAAAATAAAGTTGAGTTTAATTCATGAGTTTTTCAAATTCACTTCGAAAAGTATTCAAATTGATGTTTTAAAGGGATTTGTTTCTAATTCACATATTGGCATCAGCGCTTATATCAAGTTGAAATAATTTATACGTACCTAGATATTCTACTTTAAAAAAGGAAAATTATTTTTATAAATCAACAATTAAGACAAAATGTAAATTATAGTTCAATACCACCTCCACAAGCCACATATACAACAGTTGTTTTGTTATTTATTTATATAGAGGAAGATAGGTTAGGTGCACAAAATGTCATATGTCACATAATGTCTCGGAACTCGGAACATAAGTAAACAGAACAGCACGCCTCTGAAATATGTCATCTTTGTTTGTCTCATACAGGTAACAGATTCATTGTCCTTTATTAGCTATAACCGATGTTGCCAAATGGTGAAATAGAAACGAATCCCTTTAAATATTGAATGCATTATTTCATTCCTCTTTTTTAAGTATTTGGATATTTTTTTAAAGAAAAAGGTTGAAATGATAAGTTTGAAATGCGTTGTTTTAGAGCTCTTTTATGAAAACCACTTGATTTTCGTCAGGAGGAACATTGCCCATCTGAGGGAGAATACTTTGAAAAAAAAAAATAGAAATTGATGAATAAATAATAATTTTTTGAGGAAAATGAAAATTCAACTTATTTTTTGAACAGACCGTGTATTTATTATGAATATTTTCTTAATGTTTGAATGGACCAAATGACTCAGCTAAAAGTGTTCATTAACGGATCATTATTAGTAGGTTGAGAAGTAAAATTGTCCAGATAAAAGTTTTTTTTTGTAATTTTGTAACTATTATTGAATATAATTTGTTTTTTATAAGAAAATAATATGACTTATCTCTGTTCTACTTTCAAAATCCTTTATAAATATTGATTAAGTGTTTCCTTTGAGTCATATGAATGATAACTTTTCAGAGTAAATATTTGCATAATTTCTGATTATCATTACTGGATTCTTTTCTTTCATTGATAATTTCAGACATTGTTTTATAGCATATTCGAAATGGTTTTTGTGAATATGTTGGAATGATTTTCACTAGTGAAATTAGCATACATTTTTTTAAAACGATTTTTTTTTTCGGAAACTTAGCTCAGGGTATGCCAGCAACAGTCCAGCCATTGCTAACAACGTCTCAGAAATCCTCCAATCCAGAACATTCCTCTGTCTCAAGTACATCCGGACCATCTGAAGTTATGATGGTTGACGAAGAGACTCGAATGAGTGCTGATACCAGCAGTAGGGCACAAACTCCAGCCAAACAGGTTCGTTATTTCAAAATATTTATATTTGTGGTTGTAACATATGATGTTATAAAATTTACTGAATGATAATTGAAAAGATATCAAACATGAGTCAAATGAAATGAATTGCAGGAAGTGACAAGGGTGACTGACATGAACTATCTCATGGCTGATTCACCATAACTTCTGAAGTGGGTTAGGAATATCTCTGTCGTTTTTATAGAATTGTTTTTTTTTCAGTTCTGAACTTCCTTAACTTTAATAGAATTTGTAACACCTCTTCCACGATAGTTATGTTCATGTTGTCAGTTCTTGTAATGTGTTTAACATTTTCAATTAGACTAATATTATCTTCGTTTTGTTAACGTTTCTTTTACTCAATAATGGCATGTCACGGCCGTTGAAAATTGCACGGGGATTCAAGAATAATTTTCAATTGAGAACAAACCTTTCACCTACAGGTAGAAATTATCGAACTGCCACTAGTGTCACTACTGGATACTTTTTGTATTGAAACATCTACACCTTAGGAAGTATCACTGTCTTACTAATTTGAAAACTGAAGCAATATCGAATTCAATACAATTCAATGTTTATATGAAAGTTGAATAGAACTGACCGATACTTGATGAAAATCCATATTAAAACTAATTAATACAGTTTATCGTATGATTTTCACTATAAAGGGTTTTACAAAAACCGCGACACGTGTTTCGCTATATAGTAGCTTCCTCAAGCGTAAACTAGTTTACGTGTAAACTAGTTTATGCTTGAGGAAGATGACAGAAATTCTTCTTCAAGTTTTTGTCTGAAAGTTACTTCTTTGCATGATTTACACATCTTTGTAAGGATTTATTTTGAAATTAACTGCTTTCTTCTTTTACGAAGTATTTGGAAGATTCACACATTTTTTTGTATGAAGATGGAGAAGTAGAAAGCCAAAACCTTTTTTAACCAATAAAATTTATAAATTTCTCGGGCAATACAACGGTTTTTTTTTACTCAAAAACGAAGTAATAGGAGAAAACTTAAGAATTTTTTTTTATCCCAAATTGAATACGCCTGTGGAAAAAACCATAGGCGTATCATTTTCTCCTTCAAAAATATCAATGGCCGCCTAGTCACTTTTGAATTTGAAAATTAATTTTTCATTGAGATGTATGAACTTTCATCAACGGTTACTGCTTACCAAATATCACTAAAATATCCCAGTTGGTTTAGGAAATATTAAATGATTTTCATTTTTTTTCTTAAAACTTTAACACCTCACATTTTCATAACGGAATATTTTTGGATCATAGTTTATATAGCAACTCATCATTATTTTTTCATGTAGATAAACACCCTTGAATATTTGCATAGGGAACGCTCTGAATAGTTATTGTGAGAAAAACACTATTCCGATAAATTTCAATACCTAGTCCATATTTCCGAACTAAAATATGATATCTGAAAATTACTTATAAAGAGCAAAAGAAGTTTTATTTCTTCAGGTTAGAATAGAACTCCAAAAACCATTCGGAATGTATGGTCTGGTTCAGTACTCTTTATGTGAGATTCTTAAGAACCAACCTTTTGATATTGATCATACCAGAAGATTTAAAATATGCATTTCATTTCATATAGGAATCATTTTTACATTATGTTACATCATTGACCGATTTCCCCTCTCAGGCAACTGGTTTTGAGTTTTATCTTGATCTTATATGGCGCCTTGGTAAAGGGGGACGTCACCTTCAGTTCTGAAAATTACGAATTCTGTCTGTTTATGTGCCACATACATACATTTTGGTATATTTTTTATCAAATGCTTTTTTCTATTACAACAGATGGTGGCTCCAGCAGATGTGATCATAGATGAATCTCAGAGTTCAGTCCACAGTACTGCCACGACCGAAAGTGGCAAAACACCTTCCTCTCGCCCAAGCAAAGCACCCCGCCTCGAAGTCCAAGAAACAGNTGCTTCAAATTTTGTCTAAAAAATGGAATCAAGTGCTCAAAACACTTGAAACGTTGACAGTGGCATATGGTGATTGTACTCTTGAGTCAGAAAACTGTTTACAAGTGGTATAAGCTTTTCACAGAAGGTCCCTCATGCCCCCTCCTGGGTTGAATGCCCTAAGTTGAAATCTTCCCCACACGGTTACTGTGCGCAGAACATCCCATCTTTGTTGTTGTGTTTGTTATCTGTTAAAAAAATATACTTACCAGAGCCGCATGATAGCGACTCTCGGAGGTGGACGTTGGTTCTGCTTGGTAGGTCCTCTGTGTTTATCTCTCTCTCGGAATCTGAGGTCATTCCTGTTTAAAGTATTGTGTAGATCGCGTAGCACTGGATTGTCATGCGCTCGAATTCTGTCAAACGCATCTTCTGCGTGATGTCTCATATATGCGTCTGCGTAGTGTATGTTCAGGTCTAGATCCCGGAATATGTACCTATTCGGTACATATCTAGGAGCGTTTACGCGGCCTTTAAAAACGCGTTCATAAACGACTGGATCTGTCATCTGTTTGTCGCTGCACACTGGTCCCAGGCAGTGCAAGCATACACGATTATTGATAGTAGCAAGGTTTTTGTCATCAGCAGCTTCACTTTCAGTCCCATGTTGCTTCTTCGACCTATTATTAGTAATAGATTTTGTCGGGCAGATCTCGCCATTCCTATTCTCTGCCTTATGTGAGACGTGAATGTTAATCTTTTGTCTAGGGTAACTCCCAGGTATCCACCTTCGCTGGTCCACGAAATTTCTTGTCCGTTGAAGGTGACGTTTCCTTCCGGGTGTGCCCGCCTCCGGGCACATTCGGTATCGCCTGACTTTTGTCAGGGTTTATACTGATCTTCTACAGGTTGGCCCATTCCTCTAATCTATCTGCCTGTTGCTGCAAGTATCCAGTGGCGTGCGCTTGGCTTGTTGATCTCGCCAGCAGTGCTGTGTCGTTCGCGTAGAGCCCCAACTTGTTAAAGTGTATACCGAGAAGAGGTGTGGCAAAAGGACTGCACCTTGCGGGACCCCTGCTTCCAGTAGTCGCATGGTTGAGAGTTCTTGTTCTACAGAAAGTCGAGAAGATGTGAACGACGACGCTCGTCCTGGACGCCACAGCACATCAACAACCGATGAAAATGTTGAGAAAGTGAAGAAAATTGTAATAGATAATCGCCGAACCACTATTAGAGAAGTTGCTGAGGATGTTGGCATATCGGTTGGCGCATGCCATGCATTTTTTTTTTAAAATTTCGGCTATGAAGCTTGTGACAAAAAAAATCGCATGAGCATTGCCTAGGAATTATTGAATGACGTCAATGGCGATCCAGAAAGGATCATAACTAGTGACGAATCATGGGTATATGGTTATGACTTCGAAACCAAAGTCCTGTCGTCCTAATGGAAGCGCCTATCAGAGCCAACACAAAAAAAGCACACCAAGTTCCATCAATGTCAAGGTTTTGCTAACTGTTTTCTTCGATTATCGTGGTGTAGTGCATTAGGAGTTCTGGCCACAAGGAGTATTATCTTGAAGTTATGCGCTGCTTGCGAGAAGCAATACGAAGAAAACGTCGGTTATTGTGGAAAAACAATTTATGGCCGTTGCATCACGATAGTGTACCTGCTCACTCGTCATTGCTTGTTCGTAATTTTTTGGCCACCGCAATCATGCCTCAGCCACCCTATTCATCAGATTTGCCCCCCTGCGACTTTTCCTGTTCTCAAAATTAAAGAAACCCATGAAAGAACGGCGTTTTGAGGAGATAAAAACCGAATCTCTGAGATAGCTCAAAGACATCCCAAAAAGTGCTAACCAGAATTGCTTTGAGGATCGAAAAAACGCCAGCACAAGTGTGTTATATCTGAGAGACTTCCATGAAGGGGACAATTGATAAATATTGATAAAAATTGATAAATAGTGAGTTATTAGCTGAGTTAAAATGGTTTTTAACCATGTTTTCAACATGATTTTAACCATGTTTTCAACATGATTTTAACACTGTACTCAGCTTATTAGTCTTCCAGTTAGGAAAAAAGCCAAGTGCGACTCTCATTTTGTGCTGCAGAAGGGAATCAATGAATCTCTGTCATCGAGAGCTTAGGAGTTGTAACCAGATAGACCTCTTTGCAATCTTGGACAAGAGCGGTATATTTCTAACGAGCAATCTTTGACTCACCGAACTAGTAATTTTTGTCATTTATCTTTAGAGCTTTCTAGTTTCTGGTTTTTCTGACTGGTCCAACACTTCACTACCTTCAAAGTTGAGCCACAATTGAACAATTTGGATCACATCTTTGTTATAGATCTAATTCTGTATACTTGTGATGCACAGTTTGGAACCTTGGGTGTAGTAATGAATATTACTGGAGTTTTTTTCCCCAACACCAAACCGTAATTTTAACATCTCAACACGTTTTTCAATCGCCAAGTGATCATCTTCAAGAGAAAGATCAAACTGAAGATGATCACTTGGTGATCGAAAAACGTGTCGAGGTGTTGGGGAAAAAACTTCAGTAGTATTCTAATTTTGTATGACACATATTTCCTCAAGATTTCACCTCCTTGATTTATGTCTTTCACTGATAGCACCATATAGCAACATCTTTAAATGTAGCACCACACACTAATATGGTGAAAAGATTGAATAAGCAGGTTTTAGTACTTCTCAATAAAAGCAATAATTCTTAAAGTCTTGAATCGTTCTTGTTCTGGCATCAACTACCATAGATAATTTCCAAAGGGGAAACAAATTTATTATTTTCTCTCTTCAACCAGGGAAATGTTTTTCTAAATCTTAATGTCATTAAAAGTGCCATTGAGTCACTGTCTGTGACATTTTGTTTTTCAATGAAGTTGAATTACAAATTTCTATCTTTTCATCTATTCTATTCATTTTCCCGAACCTCTGAATGCTCTCATAATTCTCTTATAATTCATTGTCGCTGCCAGCTAACTACTTAATCATTCTGTCAAGGTTTATTTACACTTAGGTTAGTCTTCTCGAACATTTCAGATTTTTTTATGGAAGTTTTGATTAAATTGATGGATGTAGCCGTTACTACGTGGTAGGAGATCATGATGAAAAAAGAAATGAAAAAAAACATAGAAGTTTTGATTACTTGTGCTCAGGTTTTCGAAAATGAATTCCAGAAGTGAAGTGTGTATATGAGGTAGGACGGAGAGTTCTAAATTGTACTGGACTGTGAATTGGAATTTAATTTAAAACATTTGAAACAGTAAAAGTTTCGCTTACTTGAATTGTTTTTACTCTATTGTTTTCTATTTCATATTCCCTTCACTATTCAAGTTTTTTTATATCCCACTTTGTTTTGGCTATTAGTTTCTTTAGTTTCACATTTATATTAGCTTCATTTGAGTTAGATGAAGGTTTTGTTAGACTAGAATCTTAAACTTTTGCAATTTGAATTGAATTTCTGTCTTATTCTTTGATTTGACAACATTATCTTGCCTTTCTAGCCTTCTATCTATGTTGAAAAGTTGAAGGAGAGAACATTTTCAATTCCGTATGTTTGTATCAGTCTAGTGTTTACATATTCAAGAATAGCTTTTCTGTTTATCATATGAACATCCCCACTATTTTTTGAACACAGATATTGAATTTATTTATTTATTCATTAACGGGTAACACCCAATTAAGTTTAAGAGGTTTCACAATAAATTATATGAATACAACAAATAATTACATCTAACTTACTCGCTAAAAGTAAAACTAATTTATTAATAAAGAATAACGGTGAGAAAATAAATTTACTGAATTGAAATATTAAAAATAAATGAAGGATTAAGATATGGAAAATTCAATAATTAAGGATGTTTATATTTATTACCATTTATAATTTATTTCTGAGCGAGCATAATGCAAACTTAAATTTTTTTTCGTTCAATGAAAAGAAGTCCAGATCGACTTTATTACCACCAATAGCAGCTCTAGACAGGGGAGAATGTTTACCGTAGTTACAACGATGAAAATTTATTGCAAATGTTTCTGTATTCCTTGTACTTCTAGAAGCCAACTTGTGCTAGCAATGGAGGGCAGTTAATAAGAGAATTTAATAATTGGAATAAGAGTTTTAAGTCACTTTCCACTCTACGACTACTTAGCTTCATTATATCTGCAACCCTACGAATATCATCTAATGAACGGTCCTTCAAGGGCATTTTCAACTTGAACGCCAAAAATTTACGAAATTTGTTTTGTGAACCCTTTCACTCATTTTTTCTATTGGTCATGAAGTTTTGTCTACCAAATTTTATTTCTACTGCCATTTTATACATTCTTCTATAATTCAAAAGACAGAATCTAAAACTTGACCATTTGATAAATTTTTCGGAGAGGAAAAAGCTATAAACTGAGGTTATTGACTCTTTTTTTTTTAGTCACGGAAAGATCAGAGAAAGACTTGTATGGATTTGCAGACACTAACAGTTCATTACCCCAAAGGTAGAATAAAGCAGATCAGCAAAGGGACAACTGGAAACTATCCAGTAGCCTTGGTGCCTGGACAGTTCACCGATTTTTACGAGGTATATAAATATAATTTCTGCAGCAAAAATTCACTCCATTCATCACAATATTAAAAATTAAAAGGTTTAACCATGTTATTGTTTTCATGTGTTTTGAATTTTTGTTGTAATATTCCTGTCGGTTTGCTACATGCTAACGAAAAGTTTTTTTTTTTCAGGAATTCTCTCCCACTGAGATTAACAACTTGCCTCTAAACACAATGTGTTATGATCCAGTTACCTTCATTCCTCGAGAGGAATCCGAAGACTCTGGTTCAGAAGGATCAGAGTCTGATTCGGACTCTTCAGATTCATCAAGCTCCGGTTCAAATTCAGACTCATCTTCAGGCGTTGAGGATTGCAAGCTATGTAAACATAGCCCTAAAAGGGTGGCGCCACCTAAATAATATGCTTTATTATTCCGTATATACAAGTGTAAGATTCAGTTGATTTTTTGTAACATTTCTTACACAAAACTCAAATTGTGAGGCACCCCTGAAGTCTACAAAATTTTGTACAAAAAAAAGTGCAGTTCTCATAATAATTTGTTTTAGTTTTTGCAGTTAGGATATTTTAATTCTGAATCAACAGATAGATATGGAGTCTGTTCAAAAGTAATGATGAAAGTGCTATAAAGAATTATTTGTCGTCTTCCAAATTTTGATGTTGTACAAGAGTACCCATATTGATCTTGATATAGGTACCTTTCTCACCTTTTTTGATATATCTCAAACAAAAACGAAAGACCATTTTTCCCGAGCCGTCTGCAGCATCCTTTTAGAGTTTTTTAAGTTTGTTCAAAAAAGTTTTCAACTTGTCTTGTAAATAGCTAGATGAGTCAAAATCCGAAGAATTTTTATGTAGTTTTTTGTTGAGTATTAATGATTTGTGCAAACCTATTTAGCATTTTTCACATAGTATTTGTTAGAGGTTCAAATCCTTTATTAGTTCCTTTTGAGTTTTATATCAAGAACCAATTTTATTATTCTATCTACTAGGTAACATCATATAAAGCAGACGTTGTACAAAAGAACAAGTCAATATGAATATACATATATAATAATGTTCCCATAAAAAAATCTAAAAATATATTGAAGAATGTAAACTTTCACGGCCGTAGATAACTGTGTCAAAGCTATTTACTGGGTTTTCCCATTATTCTATTATTACCTTCAAAATCTCTAAAAGTTCAATGTAGTGATCATCTGAATACTTGGAAATTTTTCTTATGCTCTTAATTACAAAATTGGACTCCAATGATAATGAAGATCCATGGCAGCCACTTGAATTCGTCACTATAATACTTGGTTTCTCAGTTACAGTTTTATACTTCGAGTTGAATAAGAATTCATACGAATAAAAGTTATCCCGATTTTCATCTGTGTTCAACTTATAATTTGATTTAGAGAACCTTTTGTCTGTTCCCTGTAACATCGAATCAAGAGCAGGAGCTTTTGATGTTACAGGGAAGATAGTTGTGGTCGTTTCATCAACTCCCATCTCCTCTAAAAACTCAGCTCAAGAGTTAAAGAACTGAGAAGCTCTTTTTCCTTATCCTTTGTTACTGGAAGGACAATTGAGGACATTCAGTCGACGTATATCTTCTCTGTAGACTCAGATTATTTGCAGGAGGTACTCAAAAGACGATTGTTTTCTCTCCTGATGCAGATTTTGTTACTGCTGCTCAAGAATTTGGTGCAAAGCAATTTCATAAAATATTCTGCTCTTAAGGAGGCGATGAGTCGCTTCATGGCTGCACCGCCTCTCTAGGTTTGTTAAAAAATTGGAGAATTAAGGATCTCCTGCTCATGATACGATTTTACAGGGAGGACTGTTGGGATTGTTTTACCATGCTAAGCTCAAAATCCGGAGAACTGAGTAGCTTTCTCTTGATCCTTTATTACAGGAAGGACAGTTGGAGTCTTTAGTCGACTTCCATCTCCTCTTTGATCTTCTCAGTGATGCAATTTATTGGATTTCTGTTTTATTTTCAAGGCCCTTCACGCACCAAGAGAAACACCTATAGAGTTTTCCAGGTAAGTAAAAATGCATGTCATTTATTATGATATGCAACGATCCTGTAAATATTTGTTTTAATTCTAATACGTGTCAAATCATCTAAAAGAACATTTCGTTCAGGTCAGTCTCAACTTCCCACACTGTAGGTGAATGGACTGATACCTATCAGAAAACAACTACTCCCCTGGCTAATATCGCGAAGGGCTTTGGATTATATCCGACAGGTGTCAGTGCAGGATTCTTCACTGAAGTTATTCCTGCATATGATGTTGGCGATACAACTGCCGCAATAGATTTTCAATTATTGGAACACACTTGACAGGTTTTCGGGCTGTTTGGCCACTCGTCAGTGCAGTGCAACATAAAGTCGATGACTTCCGATAATTGAAAATTGAATTCCTTCAGAGTATCATTCCTTGAACTAGGGTGAAGAGGATAACAAACAACACAGTTTGTCATCGCCCCATCTGCCTGTGAACGAGGTAACCAACCGCATATCCGAAATTAGCCCAATTCCTCCTATAATGAAACTTTTCACATATAGTCAATGGGCATATTTGAAGACTGGCTATAAATCAAATTATCTAAAAGAAAAATTCGTTCCGCCTAGTTCAACGAATGATACTCTGAAGAAATTCGATTTTCAATTATCGGAAGTCATCGACTTTATGTTGATGATAGACACTACCTTGCACTGACGAGTGGCCAAACAACCCGAAACCGGTCTGCAAGTGTGTTCCAATAATTGAAAATCTATTGCTGCAGTTGTATTGCCAACAGCATATGCAGGCATAATTTCAGTAAAGAATCCTCCACTGACACCTGTCTTATATAATCCAACACCCTTCGTGGTATTAGCCAGGGGAGTAGTTGTTTTGTGATAGGTGTCAGTCCATCAACCTACAGTGTAGAGAGTTGAGTCTGGCCTGAACGAATTGTTCTTTTAGATGATTTGATTTATAGCCAGTCTTCAAGTATGCCCACTAAATTTATTAGGTACGGGTGTTGGCAATACAAACTGAATGGGAAACAGTGCAATTCCGTGTTCATATATTTGAAAGTAGTTGTTTCGCATTAATTTTTTCTTAAAATTTTCATTTGAAAGAAATTTCTGAACTTGAAGACTTTATTGATTCATTAATTACTTTCTTGAGACTTCAGTTTAATCAAAAGTTAATGTCTTTCTTCCTTTTTATGGAGGTTTGCCACATTCTTTTGTTCAAGGATAGAGAGGTAGAGAGTCAAAACGCTTTTTTGTCAAAAACTAATGTTTCCTAAAAAAATTACCTTTTTCAATTCAAATAAATCTACAATAGCCTGTGATAATTAATTGGACGTGTGAATATTTTTATGAACTGCCATCGTGATAAGATCAGAGCTGCTCATCTCGGTATCACAATGGCATAAACATATGCGAGAAATCCGTGTTGTTGCCTTTAAAAGTTCAAAAAGGTGCTGAAGGCAAGTGTTTGCAATCTGAAACTTCGAGAGTACACTATTAAGAATATTAGTCTATAGATTCCTTTCTTCGGAGGTTCTCCAAAATTTTTGTTTGAAGGTGGAGAAGTACAAAACCAAAGTACTTTTTCCTAAAAAGGTTTTTCCATAAAAATTAATGTCGCCTAAAAACACCCTTTTCAATCAAACTATATTATTCCTGTGGCTGGTATTGAATTAACTAACCATATAAATGTTTTTACGAACTATATTGTGACAAGAGTAGATATGTTTCTTGGGGTGATATAAACTCGAAATTTTTGCAAGAACTGAGATGTATGGATATCTCTCAGAACTGCTTATCATAAGAATTGTGGGGGTTTATCTTGTTGCATTTTATTTTTATAAAAAGTAATGATTGCATATAATTCATTAGAACTAATAGGCATAAAATAGAGCAAACAGGTAAATCTCTGAAATTTCTTGGTATATTGAAACTGAACATCAACATAAGAGGACAAGTAATAAAAAACTAATATACCTTTTAATTAATTTAATTATAAGATGTACATTCTAAAATGTTGATAACAACGTAAAATTCACATTTATAACAAAAATATATTCCAGGATGACCTTAACATTTCGGATGGAATGCGAGACACGCTTTTGCTTAGCATAGATCATCCTTAGAATTTTTAACACAAGTTTATTAGAAGATACAATAAGGCTTTTTTTCGTTTACACAAATCTCGTCGTTCTTACATGTATAATTAAGGCACTCAAAATGGATTTTCGAAGATTTGCTTTTATTTTATTGAACACTTGGTTGAAACATGAGTTCAAACAGATACAAACTCATGTTTCAAATCTTAAATTGTTCAGTCAGTCGTTGATTTTCTTGTTACGATGATTGTATTGATTGTCATTTTTTCCTCTGGTCACTTAGTACACGGCGGCTGAAAAACATAGTTCAGTTAAAAATTTATAAACTGTTTTGTATCATTAAAGTTAGTGAGTACAGTAGAATTAGAAATAAGGGCCCTCTCTGAAATGGTGTATTGACAGAAATCTTCGACGTGCCGCTAATTATATTGTCATAATGATTCATTCATTTTGTCTACAGTTTACAACACTAGGTAAATTTGGTAGGTTTTTATACCATGAGGGTGTGAAGTGTAATGGTACCAATGCAAATACATAATAACAAATATGTTAATTAACAATTTTACAACACAATTTCAGATCTGTCAATTGACACTTTCCAAATATTTATTTGATACTTTCTGAATTTCTAAACTTGAATTTTTTGCAAAGGATTCAAAGACTCAGTGTGAGTCGTGGAAAGAAACAAATAGAATCTAGAACCTGAAACATGAATTTTAATTTGATTTCATTCAATGAAACGTATATTTGGAATGCACGAGATACAAATTTTAACATACGTTATTAAAAAAATGAAATATTAGGAATTGATTAAATCATCATTGACTAGGTACCTATTCGGTCAATCAGTAACTGGTTGGGTAGCGAGTTCTATTCAAGAAATCCCCGTTATGTTGATCCAGGTTCGATTCCTGCTCTGAGACTCGATAGAGGTGACTTGTATGACCACGTTCTGAGCGAGTAGATTTGTTTAGATACCAGGGTGTATTCAGCGTGTATCGCACAATAAAAGTAATCATTAGTTAATTGTTACTCTACACTTTTGACTATGCATTTCGTATGGGGACGACATTTTGAACACATCTATGTATTTGGGTCAATGAAAGAAAAATCATTGGATATCTACAGGGTGTGGTAATTAAAAATACAAATCAGAAATGGAGAAATTACCAAATCTAACTTCTCCAAATGATATGAGATCTAAATGTTTTTCTCTTCATCATTCAAGATTGAAGTCGACAACATAAATTTATATTTATATAAAAATAGTTATGATGATTACATGTATGCATTGAATTCAATACCTACTGTAGTTCGAAGGTGAAGTTTTATCGTCATTTATTGGAAAGTATGCCTTTTCAAAAAAATAAATTCAAACTATCTAGAATTCATATTTTGCAAATTGGCAAACATTATAAGTTTTCACTTTACTATGTTCATTTAAAAATAACCCATGTTTAGTATTCCAGATGTCAAGATGTCGTTTGATATCTCGGGAATTTTTGATGAATTTTAAAAATTATTTTCTATGAAACAACTGATATTTTTAAAATTGTCAGATTCAAAGTGTCAATTGACTTTTTTCCATTTCTTGCATTGTAATATGCAATTGAGTTAAAAGGTGAAGAATAAAACCAATAATTTAGTTGAAGATGAAACATTTTGTAGGTGAAAGAAAAAATTAGACTTTTTGTCATTTTATCATTAATGTTATCATTAGCATTAATGTTATTTGTATTTCTTTGGCTCACTTACTACATACATTATGATTATCTATCAATTTGACACCCAACAATCATGAAAGTGTTCATAGACATAAAAGCAGGAACAATTAATTAAATAAAAGCTTGTTAGCAAAAAATGGAAAACTAAGCGTGTCAGCTCTAGATCTTTTCATAAAAAAAAGTTCCATTGCTTCAAAATACATCGGAAGTCATCGACTTTATGTTGATGATAGACACTACCTTGCACTGACGAGTGGCCAAACAACCCGAAACCGGTCTGCAAGTGTGTTCCAATAATTGAAAATCTATTGCTGCAGTTGTATTGCCAACAGCATATGCAGGCATAATTTCAGTAAAGAATCCTCCACTGACACCTGTCTTATATAATCCAACACCCTTCGTGGTATTAGCCAGGGGAGTAGTTGTTTTGTGATAATTTACGAGGGTAGCCTTAAATAAGTACCTGGTCTGACATATAGCGGATGTTGTATAAAAATATTTAAAAAATCGAAAGTACCAACTTAAATAAAGCTATATTTGAAGAGAGAAGGTACAGATGAATAATATACCAAAGTTTATATATTGCCAATTAGACAAAAAGGTTTATTCAGAGCATAGCCAACTACTGGTCGATTCTGAAAGTTACAACAGTCTGGTGCTGTCTTATATAGAACTAATCTCATGTAGGAAGAACTAGATCCTCCAGAAGAAATACTAAGAGCAGATATCTCTTGGTCCGTTGTTGGATCAAAAATCCCACCAGGTGCTGGTACCAGACCCAGGACTGAAATATTAACCTGTCTGGGATCTTATGCGACTGTATTTTAGAAGGAAATTTCTGCCATAGAATTTGTCAGGAGAGATATCGAAATAGACTGGTGATGAAAGACGGTTTCTACTATCAACAGAATTTCGAAGAAGCTCTAGCAGCATCCTTGGAGTTATTTATCGAACTTGAAGGAATTTATAGTGTTTGTTGGCTGTTGGTACTAATGGGACTATTCTCGTAATGTTTTTACTTTTGAGTAGACTGAAACTGTTCTATACACTTGAAAAAACTTTGGATTATAATGCTAAAATTGAACAATAGTTGCATCATCGCAAATTTAAAATTATTGTTAGGGGCGATAAATTTCCAAAGTTGAATAATTTCCACTAGGAAAACGATTCAAATCAACTCGATTAACATTTACCTAAAAATAACTCAATGATTTTTAGAATTTGGAAGAGAAGAAAGTTCATGCATGAAGAAATATGTGAGCACCATATATTCTACATAGGTATTGTTAATTTTTCTAATCTAAACTACATTACGTTCAACCTAAAACTGACACAAAAAAGGAGTTACCGTAAAATTGCAGTCCTGTTCAAAAATGGGAAAAATGGAATATGGAATGATGAGTGCAGTTTGGTCGCATGGGGCCTGCTGGTTTTGGGGGTGTCTGGGGGGCTATCTAAGGTCTATGTGCTCATCCCTACTAATGTTTTCTCGCATAACATTCATTTAGATACATTTTCTATGATTCAATAGTAGCAGTTATTTTGAGAGTATTTTTTTTAATGAACTATTTCTTGAAAATTCCAATACAAATACCACTTTAACATTTTTTTTCGTTGTCGTAGTCTTTTGCACCGCCATCTTGCGACAGCGGTCCACTCGGAAATTATAACATTTATGACAAGAAGTAGAGTCATTTCATTAAAGCATTTACGTCACTGAAAATGCGCATGGCATGTTTTGATGTGAAGTATTTCGAATGATGGTTCAGAAACAAATTTAGAATTTGACATTTTCCACTTATTACTGTAAAAATGATTTGCCTATACCCCATTTGAATACTGATAGCTTTCAGTTTCATTGACACCAAAACAACATCGTAGGATATTCTCATAAACAGTTTACCAAACTCTAACACGTGTTTTACTGAACAGTAGAATCAAATATGGTTCAGTATTGGTCACGCATGACTGTAGAAGCAAAGCGTTGTTAAATAATGTGTATAGGTAAAAATTTCAAAAAAATATTCAATTACGTTTATTATTAAAGTTTAATTTAAGATCTGCCAAGTCAATAAAAATAACACTAATAGTACAATTAATTTTTCTATCAACTGTTTGCATTCTCATAATACTATTATTTATTATGATATCCCTGAAGATGATATTATAATCGAAATATCAAAACAAGAGGTGTAAGCATCTAGACCATAGCTACTCCCCAACTATATTAGTGAAGGAACTTACCGAACGGCCTGATGGGGTGTTTGTCCCATAGGAACGTCCTCTTGACTGGGGAGAGGTACGAGTCACGGAGATAGAAGGGGGATTTGCCCCAAGGGTTGAAAGTGGAGAGGGGTTTGAGGGGGGAATCCCACCAGAAGGGGTCGCGAGTCACGGCCGAGATGGGAAGGCTTGGGGAGGGGTTCAGGAGTTCGTTGAATAGACTCTTACTTGGATACAGCCCTCCACGGGAGTAGATAGGTTGGCCAGCGTAGTTGAAAGCTACCTCAGAGGGGCGGGGAGCGAATTCTCCTGCCTTGAAATGAAAATTATATTAGTAGAAACCTTATACATATGTCTATTTCACATTATGAAAATGTGGAACAGAAACATCCGCGAATTTGTTGTTCAGAAAAAAATGTAGGTATGAGAATGTATACGAAATTTCAATTCAGTTATTCTCCCTATTCAGATATTTATAATCCTTCAATTGAAAAGTTTTTCACAAGTATTTTATTTCACTACAAAATACAATGTAACACTTGTAATATTTGAATATAATACTTCAGATTCAACTTGAAACAATTACCTCATGAAATCATTTCGCGTTCTTTAGACACTTGCTTCGTTCACGATATCTGTATTGAACTCATTTTTCTGATCTACTTGTGCTTCGTTTTTGGGCTCTGGTTTAACCAAGTTTGCTACTTTTAATTTTGAATAAAATAAAAAAAATACAAGCTTTGGCTACTGATAAGAGAGAAAGAGAGAACAATATTGTCAGCAATGTATATTCCCCAAATACAAATACAAATATTTGTATTTCTACTTTATTTAAAAATATTTTTGCAAAATTGGAAAGTCATTTTGATTTGAACAATAGATAGCATTGCAATGATGTTTCCCCTCATCTAATCAACCATTATACATTTTTTTCTACAAACCTTAGTGGGTGTTGGTGAACGTCTGCTTCCAATAGCGGGCCAGAGAGTGGGATACAGCTTGTCGAGCTCAGCTAGACGGTCCAGATGATCCAACCAGGAGCGATGGGGATCATACTTGTCGGCTGCTGGAGGAGGTCTCTTGCTGTAGACGAGGTACAAGGGGTAGCGGGAGAAGGGGTAGGTGGTGTGGAAGATGCTGCTGGGCCACTGACTTGGTTCACGACCCTTGATACGGTCTAAGTGGTTTCTCCATGCTTCGTCGGCGTCAAAAGGTTTTGGTTTGGTGATGTGGAAGGCTGTTGGTATAAGAGATTTGTTGAAGTTTTGCAATAACGATTATGGTTTGTTTGGAAGTGGGATTGCATGCATCATTGTTCACATCTCAGCAATGGCTTTTTGAAATGGAATGAAGTAGGAACAGAAGGATTTTATTACTTCCAAATATTATAAGTATCTCATATAAGTATGAGAAATTGTTGGTTCCTTCTGTTTTTGCAATGGTGGACTGATTGCCTAAGAGCTGATGAAGAATTTTGAGAAACTGGTTTTGGTAACTTGAAATCGAAGAAAATATACTACATTGATGTCTGAAATATTCAGTCTCAATAGTGCACTTGGAAGTCGGATCCATCATTATGTAAAGAAGAAGAATCAATATTTCGTGCATAAAACTTTATTGATTCAATCCAAATAGGTAATTGCTATGTCCAGACAAAATTTTATATTCTGAATCAACTACTTGGCCTATTTACAATGTTTTTATCTGAGGTGAGTTACCTCAAGGTCCTACTATACTGATGTAGTTAACACAATTTCTTTCATTGTAGATTGCCTATTCTGTGAATAGACAACCTTATTCATTGGGTCTGCTGAGGCAAGGATGAATTTTTTTGTCGATCACATAAAATGTCTCCCCAACGGGAGATGTCATTGCCCTTATTCACTAAAGCTTGTTCTTTATGGACAGTTGAGTTCAGCAATGCATTTGTGGTTCAGCCTGATGAGACCTACGGCGGGTTGAAACAGCGTTGTCTGGTGTTGGATCATAAATGCCTTTTGTTTGGGCTCTGGTTTTCAACTTCTTGTATCTACTCATCTAATATTTGTATTAGATGTATTTGTATTTGACGAGTCTCTTTCTGCACAGATGAAATAATTGTACCCATTTCATGGATTTTTCTCGAATGTGTCTGACCTTCGGTAGGTCGTTTCAATTGTGGAAAAATATTGCAATATGAAAAATGATTGTTATGCCCTAAGTTCATCACGAATGACTCCACCCTTGTTAACGTATCAATAAGATTATACAGTCAACCTGTGTCTAATTTCTTTATATTTTAAATGTTAGAATTTCTGAATATTCCACTAGTTTGATGGAAAAATACTGCGGCAGCACAGTATCATTCTGTCATAAATAGTCCTAATATCATGTAGGAAGGACTAGATCATCCAAAAGAAAGAAATACTAAGAGCAGATAGCTCTTGGTTCGTTGGATCAAAAATCCCACCAGGTTCTGGTACCAGACCCAGGACAGAAATATCAACCTGTCTTGAATCTTATGCGACTCAAAAATCATAACTTGTTATTCCTAAAGACGCTCAATTTAAATTGCAGTCATATATGGTAATGAAATTATGTGAATATATCAAAACTTAGGAGTTTCATTATAAGCAAGCCTTACAAGGTTGTAAAGTATGACTTTGATTACGTGACGCCACGAAAAGTACCTATTTTGATATATTTATTTTCCCACTGCCGTTAAGAAATATCTGTCAGGGTTTCTGGATTCTATAAGTTCGCGAGGTCATCCACAAGAAATCGTCTATTTATCAACTTCAGAAAAATTAATATTTAGATAGCTATTAGAAACTCGAGTGGTACCTAATGATTCTACCAACGTTTAATACGCAACACACATTTGCCCCATCAAACAAATTATGCATATAGGTATTGATTTTTTTCACGCAGAATCATCAATAATTTTTGATATACGTAACTAGCTGACCTAGTTGAAAATTTTTCGAATATTTCATGAGATTATATGTAGTCATTAAGATTATGGATCTTGGCAGTGCTTTATAAACATTAATTATTTTGAAAAATAATATTTGTGTTACATTTGCATATTTTATGAACAGATCCAGTGAAAACACGTGCATGTATGTGTTAATTTTTGGCAAACAACAAATAAACGAAGTATTTTTAGTAATGAACTTCTAGTGCACGTGAATACATTATGAGATTGATCAGATTCCTCCAAATTTCTATTGAAATAGTTTCGAATAGGACCAAACGGACAAAATTGCTTCAAAATATTAGTATCCACTTAATTGTCTATCCAGATTTCAAAGGAGAGGAGAGAAGATATTCACAGGAAAAATATTAACAAAACATCTTAATGTTAGATACATAGCTGTTTCTTTACACTGACAGTTCGTAATTCAAAAAGGATACAGTTTGGATGAATGGTTTTTAAAACTATCCAAAATCAAGAAATGAGCCTGCAAAAACAGAGTTTTTTATTCTCTTCAACGTGTCTTACAAATTGGTGGATTTCCTTTTTGTTGGAAGACTGATAGAGTTAGCCTATATCTAAAGATATATAGATCTGTTGCTATGTTATGAATTAAATGGACAATTATTGAGAAACTTGTTAATCAACAAATTCCTGAATAAATGAAATATTCCAAAATCTCTATCGATCATCAATATGGATTCCTGGAGCAAAAACAAAGGTGATCTTAGTTTATATGTTACCAGTTTTTTGAATTAGAAACAGTTTTCAACTAATTTGTTTCTTTTCTTTACTTGACATCTTCTCGTTCTTCGAATGGATCCAAATATGAATGTAACACTAGTTTTCAGCCAATTTACCACTATATTGCTAAAGGCAGCTCTTTGTTTATTTTTGGTCCCTATATGCGAAAATGATAGTAAAAATTTCCTAACACGTAAGATTTTTGAGTTATGCTTTTTTTCACAAAAATTTAATGAACACGATATTCCAAATTTGCTTTTCCCCTAAATTGAGGAAATTGTTTAAAATCTGGCGTCACAGCGTTTAAAACAAGTTTAAAAGCCCCGTTCTGCTCCATAATGACCAAAAGACTCTATATTCCTCTTGCACATGCAGTTGGCATGCAGGAAACACACGAAAGTATGTCACTTATTCCAAATGCAATAAGGTATAATACGTATAAGTGGCAAATATGTGGTGACCTGAAGTCATAGGACTATTACTAGGTCTTCAGGGCGGATTTACGAAGTTTTGCTGTTTTCTTTGCCTTTGGGACAGTAGGGCAACACAGAGCCATTATCAAATAAAATAATGGCCTCCGAGAGATAAATATATTCCAGATACTACTGCAGAATGGGATGTCACATGTCTCTCAAAATCCATTTCTTGCACTCCCATTTGAATTTTTTCCAAGAAAATTTGGGTGCTGTCAGTGAAGAACAAGGGGAAATGTTCCACCAAGACATACTGACAATGGAGCAACGTTACCTAGACAAATGGGATGCAGCAATGATGCGGGATTATTGTTGATTCCTTATGAGGGAAAACGATGAAACATATAAACGGAAGTCAACATTTGCAAAAAGGTTATGCACAAAAGACTTCATTTGAATGTTTTTTCATTGTGTATTGTGAATGAAGTCTGTTATCCTCAAAATATATTGTTTTTTTCTTTTTTTGATCTTATATTTCCTTATAATATGTGTAAATTTTTATATAAATTGAAAATTACTATAACTCAAAATCTTTACATGATGGAAAATTTTTGATGTTGAAGTCGTAGTCAGGATGCTTTAAACTCTCATATATGTCCATTATAATATTAGTCGCAAATTTGTTTCTTATTTGTTGGCTAGTGACACAGTACGAATATTTCAAATCGAGTAAAAGCTGCGTATTCTCAAGTGATGATATCTTGCTTATCGGGAGTATATATGAAAATGGGCATTACGATACAATTTGTAAATCTCTCGAGACAAAGAAAAAATCCCGTTTTCTTAGAACAAGTTGATGAGAGAAAATACCAAATGACCAGTTATCCGATGGCTACCTTAACAGCCAGGAGTTTTTCTGATGTTGAGCTATTTCAGGTTCCGTTTGATTTTCAGTATTACGGTTTGTACACTGAGAAAACTGTCGCTATTGTTGCCAACGACTTATTTCACTGATAGGCTTGGTGAAACTGTCGAATTCAGCCATTGACCAGAAAGATCTAGAATAGCTGGAACTGGTACCTAAGCAATTCATTTCTTATTATCTAGTTATCAAGTTCGTCAATTTCGCCTATTCTCAATTCGCATTTGTTTCGATCTCGAATAAACTTGATATGATAATCGAAACTTGAATATTTGCTCTCTTGTCACATTATCAATCATCATAGCTAGAACCAATGCCCAGCTTGATTGGTACTGAAATAGTCATCATCGTCTTCCCCCTCAGCAGATCTTTAACGAATTTTATGCAGTTCAAATGGTTTCTCAATAGTCATAGGTCGATAATATAAGTACATTTACTTTAGAACGATGGATATTTTTTTACTGACTATGTAAAGTTTGAGTTTGGTAGTTAACTGTAGAAATATAACACTAGTAAATTCCCTATAAGTATTGGTCAGGAATCCAGGTTGGTTACCAAATCTAGGTTTAGAGACTTTTCTCATCATCAGTATTTATATCAGTAATTCAAGTTACTTTGTTAGAACAGCACGCCAGGTAACAGCCCTCTTTGTGAAGTTTTTCACAACTATCCTCAAACCAAACACAAAAATAATAAAGAATAATACATGAATGAAAAAAAAAACACTCCGAAGACGAGTCCACATAAAACGATAACATCAGTTGCAGTTAGTATTCACTACGGAAGTCAGGAATGTCATATGTTAGGCCACTAGCTACCAGGCTACACAAAAGCTTCCAAATATGTCTTACCTCCAAGGCGACCGAAAATCTCACGCATCCCTCAAAAAATACTGCATCGTGTTCTAAAAACACTTCCAAAACCAAAAAAACATTCGTCATGTGTGAGGGAAGGGCCGTTAAAAAAAGTGGATCGCCCTGGCAAATGCTGGAGCGGCAGGTTAAAAAGCCTCGTTAGGTTTGGTTGCTGAATATCGTTAATAAAACAATTGACTAATTATCCTACTTGAGTGAGTGCTTGAACAAATCGCATCATAGTCACTTTGTTGACGTTATTTCGTGACTATGACATGATTTTGGGTTATGCTGTCATAAGATTTGGTTGCGATAAAAAAATGAAATGAACTTACATTGGACCATGTTCAAATGCAAATAGTTGTAGTCGTTTAGTTAGCTGAACATAAATACCGAAATATCTGGGAGTATTTTTGGAAGGCCTTCGAAATTGCGTAATTATGAAGTCAGTGAATTAAAAATAGTTGTGCTCGTGCGAACAATAGTTGAATGGTGCTCAAAAAAGACTAGGAATTTTCGGCGCTATGATTTGTGTTACATCAATGATGTTGCGCGAGCATATTGCTGGCACAATTGGAAAAAACTGTGCGTACTGGATTAGGCTTTATCGTCTTCATTATCTCTTTAAAATTGATTGTTTAGGTGTACTAAGCATGTCTGAAACCCGGCAGATAGATATATTTTCATTGCTTTCGAGTTTTCACGTCAAAATATTTAGGACAATTTTGAAAAAACCATCATATTAGTTCATTTTATTTTGATATAACAGAAAACACCTTCCACTCGTTTAAGTTACTGAGAAATCAAGTAAAAAGCGAAGCACGAATAGTATATATACAATAATAATGATGTTTTTGCTAAACAAAAGTAACAGTATACAAGTTTTTCAAAATTTAACCTTTTGTTTGATTATATTCTTCACGTGAATTAAAAAAAATATTGCCCACAAAGACGACAATGATGATCTAGTAAATATCAGAAATGCATTCTCATTATAATCTTTGCAAACTAAAGGTGGGAGATATAAGTTACTTTTTCAAATATGGCAAATATTTTTAAATCGGTTAGTTGATGAGATCACGAATCTTTCAATGAATTATAATTTTGATTTTTTTTTAAATTTTTGGATTAAGGATTTTTTAAAGTTTTATTGTATTAGTTTGAAAATGTCCATATAGGACGGAACTGCAGTAACGATAGTTACAAATAAAAGTGGTAAAAAACATAGAAAGTTTCATTTCTCATTTTTAATGATAATCTTCTACCGCGTATTATATGCATTATATCAGCAAGGAGTACTTTGGTAGTTAATCTCGCCTTACTATTACTAACTGTTTGCTTCCTTTCAGAAATGGTTATTCAAAGTCCACATTGAATTTGAAACTGTATTATATTAACTCTGAAAGACTGTCTCTCGAAGTTTATTCCACAGGAACGCTGTGTTCTTCAGATTAAACGGTTTCAGAAAAAGTGTGACACAAGATGTTCTGACTATAACTTCTATACGATGCGATAGGCAGATGTAGTTTGTACTGAACTTCTAAAATACACTGCTTTTGGGGGAATCAAGCGGGATAATTAGGTCGAACTCTTTCCTGGAAAGTTTCCTTCGATGTTCCAGATTGATTGTAGTGTTTGGTTCGACAGTTAGGGAAGACAAACGTCTCCAGTCCTAATAGGGTCTAGCAGCCTTGGGGTATGCACCACATATGAGAAGATTATTTCAAAGAATATCTAATTTGAGTTCAAAATAATGTTAGAAGTTACTAGGATCTAATTCAGTTGAGATATACTGGTTTGAAACATTAATATCTTGGATATTTTCAGTCGACAGTTCAAATTAGCTATAATTTTTAAAATTTGAAAAACTGCATATTACTGAAAGAAGAGTTTGATAAGCATTCACATGATAAACTCTTCTACCTATTCCTCTCAATGCATTGAACTATCTAGTGATGCAATTTTCTATAAACTAATATTAATTGTTCTGAGAAGCAGCTTGCTTCGTTTTTGTAGAGTTCCCCTGTATATATATTTTCTAGTCGATAAGTAAGTGTTTCTCATTTTCGGAATATTATTTGGATTATTTTTCAATAGATTAACAGAATAATTTCCAAACCAACGACTATTTAGGATTTTTTATTATTTCGATCGACACTTCATACTATCGATTATGGATAAATAATGGTTAGTTGACACTTTGGACTGTATATTATAAGGCTAATCAACAGTCTTTTTGGCCCTTCAGCACCTACGTAAAACTGCGATAAAGATTTAATTCTCTTCCAACCATTCAATTATAAAGTGTATATATTTTTTTCAATTAAGCATTTTAGATTTTTATACACAACATTAAGTAGAATAAGTCAATTGTGTCTGATAGATGGCGCTCAAGCGTTTGCGGGGACGCACACTCACTGTAATCTTTGATAAACTTTATTATTCACTTCATTATGCGGTACAACATGATATCAAATATCAACATATATTACAGAATAAGACGACAAAAATTGCACGAGCTGTTACTGCTGCGGGTGAGCGGCAAACCCGCTTTGGACTAAAGTCATAAGCTATAAAACTGTTCATAAAGGCAGTTGATGTATAAATGAAAGCGTCGATGCCAATCGACGACTTTATATGGGGCAAAGATCTGGAAAACAAGGGAGCATCCTGTAATACGCAGTGTAAAGCTGAATTTTTCAACATAGGTGGAGTTCGGTACTAAAAAAGGACGTTACTACTTCAACTTGTTGACTACCAGGATTCATAACAAAATCTAGAAAATACACAAAGCACTTTTTGTAGGTTGTATAACGATTATGTAGTCTCAACTGACTTTTACAGAAAATAATCATTATAATTGTATGTGATTGATAAGGAGGCGATAAAGGGCCATATAATCATTCTCATTTCAATCCACACTCAGAATGTCAGTTATAGATAATTTACAAACTATCGCTCAACCATAAATGTCTTCAGTTTAAATTGTTGAATATGGCTAAATCTACAATTCACACCCAATTTTATGTAATTCAGACTTCAAAATGTCGATTATGGCTACTTGTAGTCGATTATGAACGAAACACAGTTTAAACTGTCTGATAATCTGTTCGGTTTACCGACTATGACTAATAAACAGTTCAAACTGTCGACTGTGGCTAATTGAAAGTTTGATCTGTCCATTATCGATAAAAGGAAGTTATAACTGTCGGTTGTGGATGAATCTACTGTACAAACTGACGATTATCTATAATTGAAACTTCAAACTGTTGATTATAGATAGAAGGAAGTAAGAACTGTCGATTATGGTTAAATTTACTGTTAAAACTGGCGATTATCTATAATCGTAACTTCAAACTATTGATTATAGATAGGAGGAAGTTTTAACTGTTGATTATGGATAAATCTACTATTCAAACTGACTATTATCTATAATTGAAACGCCAAACTGTCGATTATAGTAGAAGGAACTTGTAATTGTCGATTATAGCTAAATCTTCTGTTCAAGCTGACAATTATCTATAATTGAAACTTCAAACTGTCGATTATAGATAGCGATTATGGCTGAATCTACTGCTCGAACTAACAATTATCTATAATTAAATCTTCAAACTGTCGATTATCGGTAAAAGATAGTTTGAACTTCCGATCATCACGTCTGTCGACTATGACTAAGTTAGAGTTTGAACTGTCGATTATAGACGAAAGACAGTTTAAAGTGTTCATATTGGCTAATCGATTGTACAAATAATCAATTATATAGATGAAATACAGTTAATACTGTCGACTTTGATCAATTGAATGTTCCGAAATGTTTTTTAGAAAGTTCAATCCATCAGTTTGAAAAAATTTGTAACCATTTAGCTGCTTTATAGATCGTTAATGTGTAATGTTTTATATGACAGTAAAAGATGAGTGTAATGCTACAAATTGAGTTCACCCCTTTTTTTTTCAAATGCGTAAATTTTGCGAAAGAATTCATAATCAAGTTTGATTATTGTTATGCAACCTGTTTTTCAAAATACAGTCTTGCAGTGTATTCATATATTTACAATATACTTGCTGAAAATTAACATCTTTTCTCACTAATCTATCAGTTCTTTTTTCTCACCAACCCCCATATGAGAAATCCAGCTTTACAATCTTCGTTTATTTTCCAAAAATCTCTGCCGAGCGCTACGAGTACCTAATGCTTGTACTCGAACCTACCGGGCCTGTATCTATCTAGAGATCCGTAGTTGTGGGGATAGATGGGCCTAGGAGAGTATCCGTAGGTGTCTCTGTGGAGGGGGTCGTATCTGTAGCCGGGGACGTGGATGCGTTCGGCTGCAGCACTGGGATCATCGTAGATTGATTTTCCGAATGGCCAGCTCGAGGAAAGTTCTGGGATGTCGCTCAAGGGACGGAAGATACCCCTACGGGAATGGACTGAATCGGTGGCCCTTATGTCATCGGATCCTGAAAGAGAAACGAGTGCAGATTTGAATGGTAATCACAATGATGTGAATATAGATACATAATACGTATGGTGAAATAGTTATTCATCTAACAAATACGGAGGGTGGGACATTTCCGCATAGCTGAAATTTAGTTTTTGGAGCACACGCTAGCTTTTGGAAAAAGCTGTGTAACTGTGTATTTTTGTCCACTAAAAAGTCAATAAAATCGATTATTTCTGACACAGTCTACAGCAAACAAATACGTTAGATCTAATGGCATTATAAGCAACGTCTAAATTGGTAGCAAATTGCCAAAAACAACTCTTCTCGATAGGAAGACTCAACAGATCATCTCTGGTCTGAATTCCTGGTCATACTGGCCTGGAAGGCAATGAGGCGGCTGACTTTCTTGCAAAGGAGGGTGCTGCAAGCAGCTTTATCGGACCAGAACTTGTCATCGGCATCGCTTTAGGGTTTGCGAAACAAACATTGAACACCTGGATGGCAAGAAGATTTAAAGACTTCTGGCAGGATTGGCTCACTCCAAGACGTTTACCCACCCTTTGAAGCTTGATACCAAACATTTATGATGGAATTGGCCGATACCTGATGAAACTCCATAACTAATGTATTAAAAAAACAGTCTTTACAGTAAAGACACGTCCTAAGAAGCCAGTGTATGGCGAAACACATGTTGCGTTTTTGTAAAATCATTTAGTGAAAATCTCACGATAAAGTGTTTTTTGAATACGTTTGATACCAAACAGTTGTTGGACTACAGAAGGGATGGACTACGATGTCTAACAGGCTTTCTTACAGGTCACTGTCATTTGAATCATCATATGCAGAGACTTGGACTGTCGGAAGACAGTGTGTGTCGCCTTTGTTTGGAAAATGATGAAAAAACAGAGCACATACTTTGTGGCTGCCCCGCTGGGGTCTGAATAAGGTATTTAGAGTTATGTCAGAGCCGTACTCTTACCATCTGAATTGAGGGACCACTCACCATAGAAACTAATTGGCTTTGTTAAGGAGCTGGCTTTATTTGGTCGAGTGTGAATAGGTGTGAGCCACAATAAAACCTTCGGGTTGCGGTGGAGTGTCGAATAGACCCACTCACTTTGGTCCTAACGTAACGTGACAAATTGATTTTTCTGTCTCGTAATGATTTAATTCGCAATAAAAATTCTTTATTCGTTCCTTTATTCGTTCCTCGTATATACGAGGTGTTTCTCTCAAAACTCGGTTGAACTTCACAACAGCATTCCTTCCGAATCGAAAGATTTAATATATTGAAGTACGTAACACTTTATCGTGAGATTTTTTCTGGACAGTAACCGCAACACGTTTCGCTATACAGTAGCTTCCTCGGGCGTTTTCATATATTTTGGAATATGAAAACGCTTGAAGAAGCCAATGTTTAGCAAAACACGTGTTGTAATTTTGTTAACTGTCCAATAGAAATCTCACAAGTATCCGCCAATGCTGTCACATATCTGAAAGATTCAACATCGAATCAATTCAAGAAAAGGTTAAGAGCTCTGTTTTGATCCAGGAAGTATTTCAGATAATATTCACTTCTCGTACCCTCAAAAGGACCTAACGAGTAAATGGATTTTTGAATCATTTATTCTTACTGTAAATGAGATGTTTTTTACTTACGCTTCGGATGTGAATATTTTTAGGTATTAAGCTTCATGCATTTACATCTAAGCATTATAGTTAACCTTGAAGCTGAGAAAATCTCAGTCTAGTTGTAAAACTAGACATAACTACTGTGGTCACCTCTATCAAGAGAATGACCTTTCGACTTTTTAAGTTTGAACACCTTCCAATACATTTTTTTAACACATTTCTTCTGCCATTTTCCATTAGTGACATTAAAGAATATTATTGTCAGGCAAGTAGTCTGACATTGGTTAACAAGATAATCGATGGATATTATACGATGCGCATCCCAAAATACTGATACTATAACCTTGCCAGTCGACTGTTGCGTCCTTGCACGCTTTGAAGTCGGTTCAATTTTGATTCTGGTATGAAATGATGAACAGAGCTTTTGCATATCTAAATATTCATGAACGATATGTCCAACACGTTCCTTTGATATCTTCAGAGCCTCAGATACCTCGATCAATTTCACATTGCGGTCATCCAAAATTATTTTGTGGACTTTTTTGATGTTTTCATGCCATGGATTTTCTTATCCTCACAGGTGTTTCAGACCCATTTATGGACTTGATGTTCAGCATAATCATATAATCATCAGCTTCTTTGCTGCCTGTGTATCTTGAGTGTCCTGGTTCCCAGTATATAGGGTATATCACAATGACCACTGGTTAGTCGTACTTTCAAAAATAACTGGACTCATAGCGGTGTAGTGTGCCCGACTCATGATCAAAAGGCCGTGAGTTCGATACTAACCTTGACCATATATTTTTCTCTAGAGAATGTATCTAGTTGGAGTTGGAATGGTTCTACAGCGGGGGTTATTAACATTGCCTACCCAGAACGCTAGCCTAATGACTAGTCGATGCCGTTGATATCAAAAACAATTGAACTTATTTATTGAAATTTGGCAAAGGGTATGTTTTTATGGGTTGCTCTATCGAATAAAAATAATAACGTTTCCCCTTCATTTCCGGTTAAAGCGGAAGCCGGTACAAACTACCTTATTCCTGTATATTTTCACATTTTCAGATACCTGGCATAATTCTAGTATGAATTTATGCAATTCGCCCTTTACCAAATATGGATCATTCTTGAGGTATTCATTTGCTAAGAAAAAAAAAGAGGAATACGGCTGTCGGGTAATTCCCCTATGGAATAAACGAGCTGAAATAATTACATAACTGAGCTATCCATGATTCACCACCGATTTGTAGATCTAACATTTTCAAAATGTTTTACAAGGGGTTGAGAATAGATGACTAATTCTGAAAATATAAAAATGGGTCAAAAATGGAACACTATATTTCAGGGCAATTTTGAAATTTCCAGATGTCTTTGACCCACTTTCATGTAATATTTCTTATATCGTAAATTAATGATTGACGAGATTTTCAAGTTTTTTTAGAAAAATAAAATAAAAGCACGTGTCCAACGTAAAGTTCTAGGAAACGAAACTTGTATTTCGAATAGTTTAAGAAAGATTGCTAGGCAATTAATACGCCTACCTATAATTGATAATATGATATCAGAAGAATAAATAATGAATGGAGAAAAGAATTATTATAAATGTTTCATAAAAATGCGAAAATTTCAAAATTTACATTTTTTCTAAATATAGAAACTTTGTTTCGAAATATGTTCTGTTAATTTCCAGTAATTCATTGACTCTTTTTATCAAATAATTATGTACAGCAGGATACCCTGATTAATCACCTCAACAATAATGAATTCTACACAATTGCATATGCAGATGACATGGTTTTCATGCAGACCGTCAAATTTGTGAACACACTGTGCGATAGAGCGCAGGATGGACTCAAATTAATAGAAACATGATGTAAGGAATACTCACTGTCGATCAATCCCAAGAAGACTGAGATAGTCCTTTTCACCAGGAAAAGGAGTTTATCGGGCTTAAAACCTTCCGAAATCTTCAAAAGCAAACTAACCTTTTCTGAAGAGGTGAAACACCTTTGTACTATCCTCGACAGGAATCTAACATTGAACTCTAACCTACAGAGTAAAGAATATGTGGCTTATGAGCCACATATTCTTTAGAGAATAGAGGATGCGCATGGAGTCTTTTACCCCTTGTGGTCACCTGCGATTGGCTTGTTTGAACATCACAGGAGCTATTAAAATAACACCAACCGCGGCAATGGAATTAATCACTGGTCTGACCCCTCTGGATCTGTACGCTAAGGAGTTTGCCTCAATAGCTTCGAACCTCGAAGTAGGAATGGGTCAATTGAGGTTGAGCCTATGGCGAGCCTATGTATTTAATAAACCCTACAAAATACAAGTAAAACAGAACACAGAGTCAGATACTACAAATGCAATACACATATTTACAGACGGCTCAAAAACCAAAGAAGGCTCAGGATGCGGAGTGTACTCCAGATCACCAAGCCTAAGGATTAAGTGGGGAATGGAAAAATACTAGCGTGGTACCAACAGAACTGACTGGTATTTCAATCGCACCAAAGGAACAACCAGGAAACGAATTACTGACAAAAACATAATAATCTGCACTGATAGTAGACAAGCCCTATTAGCCTTGAATAGACAACGTGTTACTTCAGGGTTAGTACTAGAGTGCCACCAAGATTTAGCCAAAGCCTCGGTAGATAATAACATTATCCTGAGGTGAGTTAAAGGGCACAACAGGAGTAAAGGTAATCGTATTGACGACACTTTAGTCAAGGAAGCAGCTGGACTAAGAATGTTAGGACCCAATGGCACCTATGGCCTGATGACTTCGACAATTGCGGAACTAATCAAAAGTCGCGCCCATGCTCAATCCCTAAATAAATAGAATGAAATCAAAGGATGCAATCTTGCCAGGAACACTCTGGGTGACCCTGGGAAGCTGGTGCCGAAGAAATATCTAGCGATGACCACGAAAAATCAACGCCTAACAGTAGGATTTCTGACTGGCCACTGTCAACTTAGGAAACAACTCCTTAATAAGGTGCTAGTGGACACATCTCTATACAGGATGTGTGAACAGGAAGACTAAACTGTCAGGCATGTTCTTTCCTATGCGCATTTCCTATGTGAGTGTCCGGAGTTATTGTCAATAAGAGAGTCTGTGTTCGGCGAGTCTTGGCCTACACCTGCCAAAATAAAGGAGATGTCTCCCAGTGATGTGTCCATCTTCCTGGAAAGGACAGGATGGACGATGACCTAGGAGGGCATCTCCTAGGGAGAGGATGTTCAATGTGTCACATGTGGCCTGAGTGCTGTGAGCTTACACTCACCATCCCTACTCTGCAGACACATATACAAAGATATGTACAGCAGAAATGATTTTATTGGGGTCTGTACTTTATTGAGAAAATGTTTAATTATCATTATAATTAGGAAGTTTCATTTAAAAAGAAAAAGTTCCTACTTATATATCTTCAGAATATCTTCAGCTATTGATACAGAAATAAACCTTACCTTACCTTACCTTGCATTATTATAAACATATCTTCAGAATATCTTCAGCTATTGATACAGAAATAAAGTATTCTGTATCAATAGCTCATTTGTGTATTCATTTAATCTCGTTAATTTGTTGGGGAAATTACTCAACAGCCAAAATCCTAGATTTTTTAATAAATAAATCAATATCTCAAGAATGTTCCATTTTTTGCATGAATATATACTAGAATCATGTATTATAATCGAAAATATAGAGAGTGTTCTGTCAGAACATATACATATACAGGATGTTCTGCTTTCGTTTGTTTCTTTAGAAGTGGACTCTGTTTCGAAAGTTTACTCTAGTGAAATGTTGTCCGTGCATATTCCATTAGTATTAGAATTTTCATAGCTATGAAAAACATTAATCTGACTTTTTGATAACCAATTACCATGTTTACCGTTCTCATCAGTTATTAGTCAATTTTGAAAAAAAATATCCATGATGCCTGTGTCAAATTTCAAATCGATATATTCGTTCAAGGATATATTATTTTCTAACAATGTCGGACATTTACAGACAACGCACATAATTGTATTCAATAAATAATTCATTATAGAAATTAGAACAAGATTTTCAATTCAATATTCAGGAACGAACTATTCTTACAACAGACTCATTGATATGGATAAAGAAACAAATTTCAGTCCAATCTAGACCTTTTAATTTTTGAAGACTCTTTAATAAATGATTTCTGAATGTTTTTACTCACCTTTTAGAGATCTGACAAAGGACTGCCAGAATTTGGCCTTTTTTGAAGGCGACTCATTGAGGCCGATCATTTCCAAGTGTTCTTTGAAGGACATGTTGTTAGTTTTTTGTTCACGTTTCCTCGATTCGGTCTATATGTTCGGTCGTTCGTCCCTAGAATACAAAAGCATAAACTTGAAAAAACCACGTATTTGTACCGAAAAATACATTTATTCAAGTATAGTTGCATCACCAATTATCGGATATATCCTATTGAATAATATAATTTGTTTTGAATTTTTGAAATTGAGAATCACTTTCAGAATATAGAAAATTCAACACCAAACATCATGCAAATATTGTTTTCAAATAATTTACTGAGGTTCACTTTAGGTTTCAGAATCATTATATATAATTGAGCATATTGATGAGTCTAGATTAGTGTATCTATTGAAAACACACCGGAACAAAAATAATGTCACTCGACGCGCATTTCTTTAACCAAGTTAGCTTCTTCGGGAGATCACTTATCTCTTGAGTCATAACTATAACACAACGGTACTAAATCTATCTTGTCAATGGTGATATCTATTAGTAGCAATTTTATCCAAATCTTCAGGAACAGGTGTTAATAACGACATCGTTCCACCACATCATCCATTTTTCCCTCAGTAAAATATACGGGCCATAGCCATATAATATAGGCACTGGCGATAGCTGCAACAGCTCAATATTTTCAAAATTTGTGACCCTGATGAAAGGGAACACATATGTTGTCACAAAGAATTTGAAACTTATTCTTCTTGTTGAACATTTCGGCATTTTACTTTTTAACTCGACTCAATAAATTATTCACTAGTGAAAGTGTTTTATGTTTCAATTGAGATAATTCAACCTGGCCTCTCATTTTCACTCACTTTCTATATTTTATTCAGTGCTTACGTCTCATATTCATTTTTACTAAAGTTTCAACAGTATTTTTTGTATTTTTGACATTCTTTTTCATGAACAGATACACAATTTTTTTATATTCAAGTAATACTTTAAATCTTACAATAAAGTGTGACTTAAATATGTTCAATATCAGATATTTAATCACATAGTTTTTTTCGAAAATATCCACCGCTTTTCAGTGAAGTTGAGAAAGTATTAATTGCTCGTATCTGTTTCTATTTTCGAATTCTTCATCACTCCGAAATGAATTTATGGGATAAAAATTAGTTTTATTATAAATGTTAATAAACCACCCTACTATTCGATTCATGATTAAGTTTTTTACTATTATTTTTTATTTCTTGAGTTGAGGTAATAGTTTTTCCTGCAGGTGGAGCTTTTATTGATAGCAATAAACTAAGTCATATGTAATATTGTCCAGTTATCAACAAAATCTCAAACCTCCATCAGAAGTGCAAATAAAATATTCGGATACGTGAAGCTAAACAGCTGAGGTCATGAAATAAACATTTCGAAAACATTCGTAAACACTACCGCCTTCGCCATTTCACCTCATGAAACTGTCCATCATTACATTCACAAACAGTTCGTATGACTTCAGAGATGAAAGTTTGGAGAAGCCTGCCCACAACTTTCTGTGCTTGCGATATTTGCTAAGTTATACCCAAAAGGAACAAGGAAAGTCTTTCAAATAATCATAGACTAGTTGCTTTACTTTCTGTGATATCTAATATATATTTTTTACAAAGAAAATGATTACTCTGTTCACTAGTAACTTGTTTTATTTGCTAATTTTGCGTATCAAAAGAAGAGTTTAGAAATTGTTTCGAAAACCAAAATCCTCCTCGGTCTTCAGAATTGGAAAAATCAAAAATAAGCTGCAGTTTTCCTTTCTTCTATTCGTTTTGTTTTCGAACTTTCTCGACAAATGTTGAAACAGTTTTTTTCGACAAACTAATACTTACACTACACATAAAACCATCGTGCCAGTGATGAATTGTCTCTATAACTGAGCCAAAACGATTTGCAATACAGGTTGGAATTTCAAAAGAGAAGTATCATCGATACGTTGATTGATTCGTTCGTAGATTCAATAATAAATGCAATAAAAATTAAACAGTCCTACAAACAGCATCACAATACAACACCAACTCAACAATTATGGAATATAACTGGCCAATACTCGATGAAAATTCATATTTAAACGAAATAATACCATATGATTTTCACTATAAAGGGTTTTACAAAAATAGCTACACGTGTTTCGCTATATAATAGCTTCCTCAAGCGTAAAAGGCTATTGTATAGTAAGACACGTGTCGTGGTTTTTGTATAAAACCCTTTATAATGAAAGTTCACGCGTGAGGAAGCTATTGTATAACGAAACAGGTGTCGTGGTTTTTGTAAAATCCTTTATAATGAAAATCATACAATAAAACATATCAATTAGTTTTAACTCAACAATTACCCAGTAGCTTTCTTGGCAGAGATGATAATTATGTAATTATTATCATGTAATTATTATCATGAATAGTGTTTTCATCAAGTAACGGGTCAGTCCACTCATATTTTTAACAATTACCGTCTCAACAACCACTGATATATTTCACAACTAACGTTATACCTTATATTCCAGTATTATCTAAAACGATTGAAGGAAATGTAAATAGATACGATGTTGGAACTTCTCACAAAACAACAAATACACTGGAATCTATACTCACACATACAAAATCCAACAACACAGAAGAAAGACAGAAAATTGCACTTCTTGAGGTAAAATTCATGTTGGAGAAATTTCAAGACCATTTAAAGTGAGTGAGAATAATAGGATCAAAATACCTTGTACTACATCGAATATTTCAGAATTCAATCAACAACACTGACATATTTTATTTATTTTCAAAACATCTATGGAGGATATTTGAAAATAAAACAAACCAACGAAATAACTTCAAGATACATTAGATTTTCCCAATTCTGAAGAAAAGGGCATATTTTAGCCTTCGAAATGTCAAGATAAGTATCTGTAGAACCGACGTCCATAATTTGAATCTTAGATTCGAACATTAAATTTCCAAACCTGTTTATAAAACATTGCTTCATCATGGCTATACTATTGCCTCTCCCACTCTATGAAATTGCTTTCACCTCCTTCATTCAGAAAAAAACTATGGTGACTTCGTTGCCAATCTATGAATTCTTCTGTAGACTGCGGTTATGTTACGCATACTTTATATTTAACGAATCCGCACGAAAATTTCAAGGGCGTCATTTCTGATGACTTAGAAGACCATTCAAACAGACCAAGTCTGCTTATCCAACGGTTTCGATAACTCCCATCCAACCAACTCGAACCAGGCTGTTAGAATGGGTTTGTCTCAACTATTTCATCAATCATATAAATACTACAACTTTGCAGCAAGTAGTTGATTGAATTGAATGGATAGAAGTATAAACGGTCAAGATTGCAATATACTAATATCAGGAAACACCTTGTAGTTCGAATATTTCAAAAGTCAATCAACACCATTGACATATATCTCATTTCAAAACTCCTGATATGATATTATTTAAATTCTTTAGTAAAAAAAGATGTATTAATCATATACAGGTTTTAGTCAATAATGTTACAATTCTCCCAAGTGAAACATTTAAATTTTTGGGTGTTCACATTGACAGTAATTTTCTTGAAAATTTCATCTAAACCATGTGTTTAATGCACTATTGCAACTACGTCAGGTTTTGGAAGTGAAATATTTGATTAACGTTCTATGGTTCAATCTACACTCTCATACAATATCATCTTGTGGGAAGATTGTACAGGAGTGGATCTTGTTTTTATAGCTCAGAAAAGAAAGTTTCCCTCATTTTCAATCTAGATAGAACCGAATAATGTAGGACCTCATTTGAACAAAATAAAATTTTGACTCAGCAATTTATATCAGTATCATCGATATCCCACAAGATCAGGAAATTAAACAACATAGGACTTCAACCTACGAAAAGTCTCCCTTTTTGGTCGGAGCAATACTTTTCAATTGTCTACCTACTGCTCTAAAAAATTTCTCCATTATCAAGAAGTTCAAAATGAACCTCAAAGAGTTTTCAATTGATCAAACTATTTATTCAGTGGAAGAGTTTTATAAAAGTGACCGTACGATTTATATTTATTTGAATGTATATTGTATGCAATAATTGTTTTTCACTTGATGTAATTCCGTTTTAATTAATTCTGCTCATTGTTGTTATAAATATATCTGTATTTGACGTTTGCTACACCATAATTGTGTGATCTAAAGAATGAAAAGTATTATTATTAATATTATCTATCGGCGGGATGAATAGAAGTTTGTCCCCTCTATACCTGTATAAAGTTGTCAAATACAATTTTATACTTCTTTTATGAAATTGTGGAAGGTGGAAAACTAATTGCCTCCACAGAAAATGGCTTTTGTTCAATAGTTTTTCAATTACTTACAAATTCTATAAACGAACAATTCAATTTTTTTTCACAAGTTATTGGTGCATTTGCTTGAGTGAATTCTGTTTCCTCCTCATATTTGAAAAACGTGTTAGTGTTACAATCAGGCAATTATTGTATTAGAATTTGAATTGAGAATGAAACAGAGCAAGTGGACCAGCAATATCGGATTCGTATTCTGAAATGGCAAGTTTTAATTCCGAAGTATTCAGTGCCAATTGGCTAAAGACATCGTATGATCTAGTTATGTTAATGTAGTAATCTGAAAAAAAATATCTTGCCTTTTGTCGCGGCTAGCTTATGACAGCCAAGTAAATGACGACCAGAAAGATTCCCAGAAAATAAACGACGATCGCAGATATTTCTGAGACCTCGAGCGCAGTCATCGTGTGGAGTCGGATTCGTACTAATTTGGCAAGGCTGACTTTTCGGCTGAGAGGCGATCTATTTTCGAATCTAAACCAACGTTCTCTCGCTGCTCTTTCGCAAATTCCCCATTTCGTAGTCCACCCACTGACACTAGATCACTCGAGCTATTTTTGAGCGTTACAGGTGGTGTGAGGCAAGGTTTCCAGATTTTTGGTCTCGTTTTACGGGAATGCGCCGATTCACAGCTATTCATGCGGCGGTAAAGTTGGTCAATGTCTTCACATGCAGCACGGATGCGATTAGTTTGTTCAGTCCTTGAAATCCCACTTGTGCGAATTACATTACAGGTTATCAACTATTAAAATAC